ATACTTTCACTTCTTTCCTACCAATTTGGATGCCCTTTATTTCTTTTTCTAGCCTAATTGCTCTGGCTAGGACCTCCAGCACAATGTTGAATAAGATGATAAAGGGTATCCTTGTCTGGTTCCTGTTCTCAAGGGGAATGCTTTCAAAGTCTCTCCATTTAGGATGATGTTGGCTGTTGGCTTTGTATAAATACCCTAATTATGTTGAGGAATCTCCCTTCTCTTCCTATTTTGTTGAGCATTTTTATCATGAATGGGTGTTGGACTTTGTCAAATGCCTTTTCTGCATGGATTGATGAGATCATGTGGTTCTTGTCTTTTGTTTTATTTATGTGATGGATGACATTGATTGTTTTTCTAATGTAGAACCGTCCCTGCATATGTGGTATAAATCCCACTTGATCATGGTGAATTATTTTTTTGATACGTTGCTGTCATGGATTGAATTGTGTCCCCCAAAAATATCTGTCAACTTGGCTGGGTCATGATTCCCAGTATTGTATGATTGTGTAATCTGATGTGATTTCCTTATGTGTTGTAAACTCTATCACTATGATGAGGTTATATGTGATCTCCTTATGTGTTGTAAATTCTATCACTGTGATGAGGTTATACTGATGAGGTTTACAAGATTAGATAGTGTCTTAATCCAGTCTCTTTTGAGATATAAAAGAGAGAAGCAAGCAGAGACACAGGGGAACCTCATACCACCAAGAAAGCAGTGCCGGGAGCAGAGCTCGTCCTTTGGACCTGAGGTTCCTGTGGTGAGATGCTCCCAGACCATGGGAAGACGGATGTATCATAAGGACCTTTCTCCAGAGCCAACAGAGAGAGAAAGCCTTCTCCTGGAGCTGATGCCCTGAATTTGGACTTGTAGCCTACTGGACTATGAGAGAATATATTTCTCTTGTTAAGCCATCCACTTGTGGTATTTCTGCTGAATCAGCACTAGATGACTAAGTCAGTTGCTGAATTCTATTGGCTAGAATTTTGTTGAGGATTTTTGCTAATCCTTATTTCTGATTCAGAAACAAAATATAATTTTTGAATCAATCAAACACTTTTTTTTTTCCTCCTGATATAGAACAAATCACCTGCTGCAGTTACAGAACCAGAAACAAACAAATTTGATAGTACAGGATATGATAAAGACTTAGTAGAAGCTTTGGAAAGAGATATAATTTCTCAGAATCCCAATATTCGATGGTAAGTTATATCATAACAAAATAATTGGGGACTGATGGTGCTTTTGGAACTGAAAACAGGGCAAATGTGAGGATAGAACCAAATTACCTACAATATGAGCAGAACACATACTGGAAAACTTCTCTTCAGTCCAGGCTGTATCAACTTTTTGTTCAAGACCTTACTTGTTATATACAAAATGGGAATAAGATCACAGAAATTTCATCTTCTTTTTAGTATACCCTCTAATGGTGAAAAAGCAGTGATGTTTATGGACGTGTATGTATTGCTTATTACCTGTAGGCTTATCCTGTAGATAAATTGCTTTTACTTCCTATTACTTAGAACAGTTGTTCTCAACTTTATTAATATTACATCTAATCAAAGAACTATAACCTATTGCAGTAAATTACATGTCATTACCTTATATTTTGATAAAACCTTGATTATTGTGTATGGTTTTGGATTATTCTTTTAAAAATAATTTTTGGCGTTTGATATTTATACAGTGGACATATTGTCATAATAAAAAATGCTCTTTTCAAAATAAAAAATGTCACATGTATCAGTACTAGTAATAAGTGTACTAGTAGCTGGGGATGACTTCAGAGTAGTCTCTGTGATACTCTTTCACCTTGGTGTCTACCTCTTAATAGAGTTGAGAGCACTTTGGGTTTTTTTTAAATGCTTTTTAAATAGGTTTATTGTTTCTAAATCGTGGATTTTATGGAACAAGCATGAGAGCAGGAACTTAAAATGAGATGGCATGATAATGCTTAAGAGTGAGCCTTTAGATCTGTGTTCTCATGAGTCAAGCTGAAAATCATTACTGCCAAGAATTGAAGACCCATATTGTGCTCTTTATGTATACTGGTTGACATGGTGGGCCTCTGACCAGTGTGTTAGTTTACTAATGCCTAGGGAGCAGCTTTCGGAGCCCTGGTGGTGCAATGGTTAAGCACTCGGCTGCTAACCAAAAGGTTGGCAGTTTGAACCACCAGCCACTCCGCTGGAGAAAAGACCTGGCAGTCTGCTCCCGTAAAGTTTACAGCCTAGGAAATGCTATGGGGCAGTTCTACTCTGTCTTGTAGGGTCGCTATGAGTCGGAATCCACTCAATGGCACACAGCAACAACAGGGAGAGGCTTAGCGTTCTGTCAGCAGTGTAAAGTTGTATGCTTCCAATGGTTTTCAAGAATGACTACATAGAGTTAAATACATCGTCTAATGGGTTGTTGATAATATGTATTCTTTTTCAGGGATGATATTGCAGATTTAGTAGAAGCCAAAAAGTTGCTTAAGGAAGCCGTGGTGTTACCTATGTGGATGCCAGAATTCTTTAAAGGCATTCGGAGACCATGGAAAGTAAGTTTATTAGTATATGGCTTTGTCAAAGTGAATGACAAGTATATTGCTATAGAGAGCCAGTATTTATCTGTTTTAGGGGAAGTGGGGAGAGAAAATGGAGTAGATGTAGAAAATTTTTAAAAATGTGTGTTGTGTTACTCAGAATTTTGTTTTAAGCCAAATGCCTACTGCAAGCTTCCAGAGTAAGAAAGAGGTACAATGTGATCTTTGGAAAATTGGATACACAGCAGATTTAGAATGAGCTTGTGTTTGCAGATACGAACTAGGCAGCTAATGCAGAAATACTCTATGTTATGTGTCATGATGCATAACTTGTAGCCTGTGGTTTTTGGAATTATTCTTAGGAAATTTATGAGAAGTACGTGCTATGGTTCCAGTTTAAAAAAAAAAAAAAGAAGCAATATGGCAGGCTCTTTACCTCAAAGACTACAAAGTGTATGTCCTCCCAACAGGAGTCTAATAAGTACTTTCTAAAATCATGGGCTGATCTGATAAGAGACTGTCAAAAAAGCTCTTAGATTTGGAAAATATGTGCTAATGGCTAACTCTGTGCTTATTAATATTTTAAAAATCCTTTAAGTGTTAACTGATAATCAAGATGCAAAATTGTAGACATATTTTGAGCACAACTATTTAAAAAGTAACAATTTGTCTGAGCAAAAAGACTAGTGGGAATAGAATACACCAAATGCTAATGGTGCCTCTGTTAGGGCACTGATAAATGACTTTTTCACCTCTGAGTTCCAAATTTTTAATAATATGATTACCTTACTTTTGTAACTGAAATAAAGGGTCCTGTTTGTCTTTTCTTGGTCTTATATACTCTTTCTCTATTATATTATGTGTAAGTTGGTTGAATTTGATACTCAGTAATGGAATATTCGTGAATTAGAACAATGGCAGATAAATCCTTTGCTTACAGTGTTATATTCCCAACAGGGAGTGCTGATGGTTGGCCCACCTGGCACAGGAAAGACCCTGCTTGCTAAAGCAGTAGCTACAGAATGCAAGACAACATTCTTCAATGTTTCTTCATCAACTCTTACTTCCAAATACAGAGGAGAGTCTGAGAAACTTGTTCGTCTTCTGTTCGAAATGGTGAATGTTTGAGACAGCTCTATTGATTCTTTACCTCTGAAAGGGGAGAAAGTGAGTTGTCACTATCTCCAGTGTGTAGAACAGCTAGGCAGGATGACATTTTGCACAGAGTCTGATTCCTGTGTACTTGAAAGCTAGCACCCTTTACTTACATGGGCAGCTTGAGTTTCTCTTTGTCCCCTTTCCTCTGAAGACAGATCCATTTCTGCTAGTTTATGCTCCCATGGGATCTGCATTACTAAACTGCTGTAGGAATCTGAAATTATTCCTAATGCTTTTTAAATCAACAGGCTTACATATACTATGGTCAGTGTAGTATTATAACAAAAATGCCAAAAGGGGAAAATCATAAATAGTTGTGGAACTTGGATCACTGCCAGTCTATTCACTACACCAAATACCTTGAGATCATCACCAATCTATTCGATATACCAGATACCTTGAGTTTAATGGCCCAGTCTTTGGATTAACTTCTTTGCTTCTTTCTTTGCATTTCTTTTTCCATCTTCTACCCCTGCAGATCTGAGTACTAGTAGGAAGAGAAATGTAATTCTGCAAGTTCTTGTAGAGTGTTTGGATTGGATTTAATAGCTTTTTAGACTTCAGACTTTGTTAATCTTCACTGATTTCTTTGGTTTTGCCTCATTTTAGACACAGTATAATTATAAGTATTAGGACTAGGTTATGCTTGTAGGTAGTGACAGAGACTTGAAGTGCTGAATCATAGTCTTAGATGACCATGCTATTACTATACCAGATCTTCTTTTGTAGGCTCAAAACAAAACAAAATACTATAACAACCTTTACAATTCCAGGTTATCCATTTTCTGAAAAGGCTTTTTCCTGTTTCATTCCCTGTTTTCTTTCTCTTTCAACTTTGTTAATTCATAAACCAGGATGCAAACTTTTAACATGTTCTGAATAGCTTATTAATATTCCTTAGCACAATAGGAATGTAATGGAGAATCTCTTAGATCATTTTAAAAAATCATTGTGCCCATTGTTTCAGGAAAAAATAAAAAGTATATTGTCAGTATTCTAGAATAATTATGCCTTTAAAAAAATGTAAGCTAAATAGAATGATTCATTGTGGAGTCTTTAGAGTCAGATGACTTGGGTTCAAATCCCACCTCTCTCACTTTCCTAGCTGGTAAACTGTGGGCAAGTTACTCGCCTTTCTGATCCTCAGTTGCTTTATAAGAAGAGAATATAGGACCTACCTCTAATGGTCATGAAAGCAAAACAAGCTAATACATGTAAATTGTTTAATATAGAGCCTCACTTATATGGGCTCAGTAGATCTTAACTGTTACTGTTTAAGAATTATTCGATATATTTTCTAATGTAGGGTTTTATATTCAAGAAAACACCATTTTCTTCTGTAGGTAGAAGCCACTTACTAAGTACTAATTTGTATTGTGTATTTTTCATAGTGAGATGCATGAAAGCATATCAAAAAGCTTATTTTTTACTGGCTTCCTTGGTGTTGCTTGGGAGAATCATTAGCCATCATTAAACAAATCCCTGCACATCCTGGAGTATGCTACACTGATTTTCCCACTTAAGCAGTGGCCCATTCACAAACCAGTGCTACAGTTTGGAGCTTCTGCCCTTGTGATTTTGGTTAGGGCTCATATACGAAGCCAGCTTGTTCTTTTTATCTTGTGAACTCTTTCATTCTCATGGAGTAATGTATTGTCTCTCCTGTTTTGGTTTTGACTGCTTTGTAGATGACTACCTGTTTGTTGAGGTGCCCCTCTTCCAGGATCCCTCAAAGAGAATTTTGAGTATGCCTCACGGCCTGTATTTTAAATAAGGCCATGTAAAAGATACGTAAATTTGGTGAAAATTTGTCCAGGATTTTTACATCACATAGTAACGGACACACACAAAAACTTAATTATATAGTTTTTGTTGTATTGTTAAAAACTTTTAAGTGTCAGGAATCTAATAAAATGAGTATAAACAAAAAGAG